CTTCTACGCAGAATTTATCTCCAACTACCGTGAGCCTGGTTCTGGCTGTTCATTGTGCTTGCTGTTGGCCTCATAAGTGCCACCAGTACCAGGTTTCTGGGCAGCACTGCCCTGTCATTGGCTGAATCTCTAGCTCACCAACTGGCTAAGAGCCTGTCCAGTCCCAAATCCCATGGTAACCCGTGGAAGGGCTGGACTAGGGGATGTAAACTTACCAAGAAAGCCACTTGCCTAGGAGCTGGGTGGCTGACTCTCAAAGAGATACCGATGCTAGGCAAATGATCATTCCACCACAAAGTGTCTATGTGGAATGTGGTCTCACATCTACATCTTGAACACCACCCTCAAAACTAGCTTACACTTAGCTATTCAGAATACCACGTTAGGACCAAACCCGACCCAGTACAACTACCAAAGATACTCATAAGCACTCAGATGCTCTTGGCTGAGCTATGGCTAGACTTCTAGACTTTCTGCTATTCCCCAGGAATATGATTCTCTGGGAACTGATAAATACACATTGTTTCTAACACAAACGGTGAATGACTCTATTTACCTTGGGTGCATTTTATTACCTGTCACCATCTTTAGGGTCTAAAATCTAGCTGAACACAGATGATAGGTTAGTCGATTCTTCCTGGAAAAAAAAATCACAAAACATGACTAGGATGCAGATTTTCTGACTCTGAATTTAGTGGCTTTTCCCTTACGTTATACTCCTTTATAAATGTCACATTAAATGGGTATAAATACACTATGACAGTTGAAAAATAAAAGTTAAACAAACTATAAAGATGTCCACCACATCTCTCAAGTTCTATTCTTCTCTACTTGGTCAAGATCTTTCTTGTGGGGAACCATCCCAGAGTGAAAGTCACATCTTCACTTCTCATCTCTACGCTAAGGATTCCTATTTTGATCTTTTCAGCCCTCCCCTATCTTCTGGGCTCCAGCATTACATTTCCAACTGCTTGGTATATTTTATCTGTTCCCCGCTAAAACCTACACACTTAAATTGCTCTGTATATTGCTAAGCTATCTTCAAAACACTTCAAAAGCAGAAAGAAGAAGAAAACTTGGTAGAAAATCTAAGGGAAAATAAACCCCAAGAGTGAGGCAGAACTTTGCACTGGATGACATGAACTCTCAGGCTGCCCTTCACCCTTTCTGGTCAGTAACCAGCATTCTAATTATTCACCTGGCTCCCCAGGGAGCTCCACCTGTAAAAGTGGTTCTTCTCAGATGTAAGGCTCTTGTTTAACGTAAGCTAAAGTTCAGTTGCTGTCTCCACGTTCAGGAACGTTTTTATTCAGTACACGCTTGTTGAGAATGCACTCTATTCGAGGTCCTGAAATTGAACATAAGTGAGACACGAGATACATGTGTAGATCTAGAAAAGCAAATAACTCACATTCTTGACCTAGTTTGGGGGATCAGAAAGGATCGTCTAAGATAATGGCATGTGAAAATGTATAAGGGCCTTGGGGGAAAATGAAGTAAATTACAGTAAAAGAACTATTGCTCTAAACTTGGTCTGGGACAAAATACTATTGCTTGATATGATTAATAATCTCTTTCCCTGAATAAATTAGAATTGTGATAAACATTTAGTAATTTTCAATAATTGCTTAATTACTTATGGGACAGATATTTACTTGGGAAACCATCCACTCACCTGACAGTCCAAAAACTGGGTATGTATTTTTTTAAATTGAAGTACAGTTGATTTACAATATTGTGCTAATTTCTGGTGCACAGCATAGTGATTCATTTATATATATATATTATAT